ATTTTCTAATTAACTTGTCCTGAAGACAAATAGGGGAAAGGTAGAGTATATTTTCCTGGTCAGTTCTCATTAATATATTCATTGATGATTATGGTTCCCATAACTCTTAATGTAGCACATTAGGTAGTTCTTTGTACAAAGACTGCAAGGTATTTATTTTGTTTTGTTTCATTTTTTGAAATAAAGAAATTTACTTGGAGACACCTACAAGCAAAACAGTGAATAATTTGAAGACCTTGATCATTATCTAAAAATAAAAAAAAAATAAAACCCAAGCTGCATAATGTTTCATAATTCAGCCATTTCATAAGAGTTTTATAAAAATCTCAATATGTTAAATAGTCATTTAATAATGTTTTGTGACTTAAAATATTTAACTTCTTGAATAGAGTTGGATGTTAAGAAGCAGTCTGTTTTTCTTCTGCAGTGCTGCTCATGCAGGCAAAAAAAGACATTATGCAGAATTTAGCCTATTATTTAAATTTATCTGTAATTCAGGTTCATTTGATAAAGCCTCATGGGCATAAATTAAGTAAACAAGAACTGCTAAGATGAGTGTTAAGTTACCTAATCACCCACATTTTCTCACTTGGCTTTCTGTGGACTTGGCTTTTCGTAAGGTGATAATAAAATACAATATTTATGTCCACAAATGCACTGGGGCTTTTTTGATGCCAAGTGTTTTGATTTTTTTTTTTTCCCTGAACCTGATTGCTGCTTTTCCATGCTCTGAACACTGTCATAGTACATATTTCCTTATACCAACCTGCATAAGGGTTAAGAATTTAGAGAGGAAAAGACAGGCTTGAGTTTTTAATCTCCCACTCACTGACTTGGAAGTTTAGACTGGCTGTGCAGCCTGGAGAACAAAGAATTGGGAAAAAAAATCTCATCTTGAGCCAGTGTTTCAGAAGTGCAAATAAGATCACTTGGGTAACTGCAGACTAAAATTGTGGTCAGATAAAAGTATGGAAGTAATGATGAACAGTTGAGTCAATAGAGAATAAAATGATGGTAGAATAATTAATGGAAAGTATCCTCATTTCAAAGAAAATGTTTTATTAAGTAGCTATTGCAGATGTAATTAATTGAGATAGGTTTCTGAAATTGTAAGTCAATGTACTTCAATGTTTAATGTGATTCTTAGAACTTTCAGCTGTATTGTCTGGAGGTCAGTGAAATGGGAGACTAATTTGAAAGCAATTCAAAGTTAATGCAGTTAGCTAGTTTACATACTGTAAAGGAATAAATTAGTGAAACAGCAGGATTTTTTTACAGAATGATACCACAATCCTAGCTTTAAATGCAAGTAGAATTGCTTTCTGAAGTTCATGAAAGCTGGGAACATTAACCCTGTAAAAATCTCAATCTTGTTGAATGCCTTTTATTTGAAACTCCCACACTAGTCAGTGTCTGGACTGGTAGCTTTGGGAAGACTAAACGTCCAGTATTTATGCTGTAGCATGCTCATCCCTCTGAAGAGATCTCCCATGTTTTTCTTTTTCTTGGTTCTTAAGGCTTGTTTGGAGAAAAAACAAGTGTCAGTAAGAGGAGGAGAGCAAATCTCGCGTTTAACCCAGGAGAGTCTGTTTTGTCTTGGGTGCAGGTTTGAGTCATGTTCGCTCTTGGCTTTGATGCTTCAGCTGCTATTTTTGTAAAGCTTCCTGGTACCTGCAAACATATGATAAGTTTAGAGCTGCAAACCTGGAGTGTTTATAACATTGATGTGTGGTTCCAGTAAATAATCTGGAAGAAGTATTTAGGTAGGTGACATTTGTTTTGGAGTAGTCTGTTTTGAGCTACTACAAACTTCTTGTCAAGTGTCAGATTTATTTGTTTGTAGTGGAGAGACTTTGGACTACATTCCACTTTTGAGTGGGCAGTTTCTATGTAGGGCCACCATCCATTAGCTGACCTTAATCACTTTAATAATAGTCAGCTGCAGGTTTAATAATTTTTTTCTACAAAAATTTTCTGCTCAGCTGGCAAGGGGTGTGGGCAGTTACTAGACAAACAGTAATATATATGTGCTTGGAAATATTGTTGAGAACATCATTATCAAAGTGTAGATAGCCAGATGTTGCAGGATGTGAATTTTTTTTAAAATAACATTTTGCTGATCTCTAGTTAATGCAGTTTTCATATTTCTTACAAAGGAGGTAGCCAAATTGCTACACTGATGTATTTATTTTGAAATTACAGACCTAAGTCTTATTGAAACTGTTTGGTCTGTTTTCTTCTCTGTACAGCATTGCCTGGTTTTTGACCATTTTTTTTCCATTGTAGACATCACTTCTATCTCAGTGTATTAGTTTGATTTCCTTTGTAGCAGTCTGGAAGATTTACTGTTTGTGTTCAAAAAGGAAGCTTTTTGCTTTATCGAGGCCCAGAGCTCAAATGTGAGCTCTGGGAGAGAGATTGAAAGTAAATAAGTGAATTTGTGACTCCCCTCTGGAAGCCTTTCTGAAAAGGCCAGGCCTTTTTGCTTATTCTCTGATGTTGCCTTTATCTTTTGCTCATTTATCTCAGTGGCTTTACAGAGCAGTGTAAGGTGATTCTTATAGTCACAGACTTACATTCTCTGGTTTATTGTTTATAGAGAATTTGAAAAATTGTGAAGCTTGTGGGATAATCCAACAAAGCTGTCTTTGCACAGAACACACTGTTTCTAGAATCACATGAAGAAGAGGAATTGAGGGGAAAAAAAGAGTTTTTGTTACATGATCAGTGATGAAATCCTTGTAGTAAAGCATGATAGCTTGTCAAATGTAATTTTCATATTAACAGCAGACCTTGAAGGAAGGTAGAGCAGTGGAGTCCTTTTTTGTTTCAACAGAATATTTGGAAAGCCACTGTCTCTGGTTGCATGTTTGGAAACATAAGTAATGTGGTGTTCCCTAATGCTAATGAAACCTTAGCAGCAAATGAGAGCTTTGTGGTCTAAAGAGTTTAAGTAGGACAGCAAAGGCTTTGTTCTGCTGTGTGCTGAAGGAAGTCAGTTCTTTTTAATGGTATTAGGTATTGACTTCATGCCAGAAGCATCTTTTACAAACTACTTTTGTATGCTAGGTTAATTTTGTAAGAGTAATTACACAAATGAGTGAAGTGTAAAAAAGAAAGGCTTCTTGAGATTGACGTATTTTTACGCACATTTGCAAATGCGGTTTGATGCCACAGCCTGGTCTGTGTCTGCCTATTCCCACACTCAAGCCATGCATGTGCAGCTGCTCTAAAAGCAGTAGCAGAAATGTCACTTTATTTGACATAAGCTATTTCGAGTGGAATGTCCAGTTGGTGCAAAGCCAACATATCAGAATAATGTGAGATACAGGCCATGGTTTCCCAAACACATAAAAACCTTGTCTTCAGTCCCTCTCCCATCTCTTGGCTGTTTCTGTGGTTCTGTGGTGAAACATCAGGGAAAGTGGTTGTGATTTTGGTGGAGAGAGTGGTGCAGAGGCCGGTGGTAGAACAGGATGGATGCTTTTGGTGGCAGTACTCGCGTGCCATCGGGCTGAGGTGTTCAAGGCACTACTGGCTGTGGTTGGGAGTCTGTGGTGTAGGATCCCGGCACCTGCAAGGCAGCATTGGAGAGCAGCCTTAGTCTTGTTATGTTACATTTATTTTTGTTGGTTATATAGCTGTGTTCACCTGGTATCTCTTTAAGTGAATATGTGTTCCCTGAGTCTTACAGCATTTTAGGCATTTTTTGCTTTAGCTGTAGATCATCCTACTGCATGTTGAAATTGAACTTAAGTTGATAGTGCTAGAAGTCTACATCATTCATTAGGTTTAGGCAAGCCACTGAGTCTGCAAGAAATAGCCTCTGATAAACAGCCTTCAGAGCTTTTTTTTGCAAGTTAATTAAACTTAATTACTTCCTTAGCTTTTTTCTTTTTTTGATTTTTTTTTAAGTTTACTGTGAAGTGAATTTGGATTCAGCCTCTACAAGATGCAAACTTTGATGTTTCAGTTACTTGCCTTTTTGGATTACTAAATAACTGCTAATTTTAAATGCTATTGAAAGCTGAAAATCCTTGATTTTCTCACTGTGGTGGATTATTGTAACATAAAATGCAAGTACATGTTAGACTAAAGACATTTGCTAGGCGGTATTTTATACCTTTGTTTCCTCCTGCCTAATTCTCTAATTCTTATCCCCCATATTTCCACTTGCTTTTTGATTTTTCAGCTTGTCCTAATTAGTGTATCCTCCACCTATTGATCAGTACAGAGTGCAGTGAAAGATTGGTTTTGAAGATGGTTTAATGTATTAAAAATTCTCCAAGTTTTTTTTCTTTTTCAGAAAAGTAGTTTATTTTTTATTGTTTCTCCTTTCTGTTTTGTGCCTTTAGTTTGCTATAACTTTCTTAATTACTAAGGACAGGTTTACTTTCTTTGGAATCTCCTGTTAGAGTTGATCATGAGCTGTGTATATAGTTGTGATTTAATAAATGTTTTTGATATGCAGACTACCCCCAAATTTAATCATGCTGCTAAAATTTATGTTATTTTTATTTCAGTGGGTAATCCTAAGAGTGAAAGTAATTTTTTGTATCCAAAGAAATTATAATTTACTGTGTTTCAAAGCTACCAGACATCTCTTTCATGAGCTGTCTCTTATTTATCTAATAGTGATCTTTGGTTGAGTCTGTTATCTTGGTGGAAAAGATGCACTTCTGAAATAAAGGGTTTTGAGAAGAAAACAAGAAAGATTTGCATTGTGAAAGTGATGAAAGGCTCCTTAGAGCTTATCATGCAAGTATTTATAGCTGTTTTTATAAAAAGAGGTAGATCTGTTCCTGCACGTGAAACCTGCAGTTCTGGTATATATGGCTGATATGTATATACACATTTGGCTGATTTATAACTTGAATGACTTCTACCCCAGTAGCAAACATTCCCTCAGAGCACAGCTTACAAATAAATGATGTGGAAATCTGGTGCTGCTGTGATTCTTAACTAATTCTGGGTAATTTTGTTTCCTCTTGTTTTTAAAGGATCAGTTTGATAACTTGGACAAGCATACACAGTGGGGCATTGACTTCTTGGAGAAATACGCAAAATTTGTAAAAGAAAGGATAGAAATTGAGCAAAACTATGCAAAACAACTGAGGTAAGGCTTTTTTTCTCTGCAAGTGGATCTTAGAAGTTACTTAAAATCACTGTATCACTTGGTGGGCAAATATGAAATGTCATGATTAATGACTGTTTTTCATTTACAGAGTGAATTAGATCACTAGCTTTTTTCACAACAGACCAGTCCAAAACAAAATTATCTTTGGGTGTGCACTTGCTTGCTTGTTTTTGCCTTCTCTCCTACTCTTCTCTCCCACCCACCCTTCAGATCTTTGAACTAAAAAGGTTTAAGGCTTAAAATTAAAGATTCAAAACAAGGAAAACCATAGTGATTTTTTGCACTGACTATCAGCATGTTTGCTGTAAAGTGCATTATTTGTATTTACACTTGAGAGTGTGTGTCTGCTTCTGCTACTAATTAATTTCTCATGTTGAATTGGCAAGAGCTACACTACATTGTGTTAAGAAATCTGATGGAAATAATTGAGTTGAACTTGAGAAAACAACAAGACCTTCCTGTCCTTAAAGCACACCCTTTCCATAGCAGGTCTTGTCCCTTTGGGTGAGACTGTAACCCAGCCACCCTTTGTCTCAGCTCTGTTCTGTAGCTGCCAAGTGAAACATCTTTGAGGTCCAATAGGAATTTCCCTTCAGGGATCATACAAGGAGAGAGAGTAGCAGCCATGAAATGGCTGCTTCAGAATAAAGTTATTTCTTCAGCATAAAGTAGGTTAATTTTTACCAACAGTGCACACAGTGCTTGAAGAATAAAATTGAAAGTAAGACAATCTTGTGAACTTGGCCTTCACCTCATCTTTATTGTCCTGAATTCCTTTGGGTGTTCAACTGAAGCTGCAAGCCTACCCTTGTCAGGCTGAAACTGATAGCAACTTCTCTCCTGTGGTTTCTTCCATCATTTGCAAATCAGATTGTCACTAGATAGAGAGCTGAGAAATCCTTCCTCATTAATACAGTAATGAGGTTCCCAGCCGAGGACATGGATGTTCTGTATCTGGGCTGCTCATTTCCTTTTTGATTTCTTTATCAGTTTCTTTTCATCCAGTTGTATATATTCACCTAACATAATAACCCATTGTTTTACTGAAGGCATTTTCTTCTTGGAAGGAAGAAAATAAGTACCACTTTTCCAAAGCTGGTATAGAAGAACTTGAGGAGGTAAAGGAGAGTTGGAAGCATGCACAGCACAGTTGGCAGCCCTGTTTTAATTTGTTTTCAGTTGTCTGTTAAAAAATAGAGATATATTTTGTTTCCACAGATCTCTATATCCAGATCTTTTCCTTAAATAGTATTAACAAATGACATTTTGCTTAATTGTATTTAAAGGTTCATTCCACAGCTTGCAAGATGAGACGCCACATTATTACTTCAGGATTTGAATAAAAATAGGAAATTTTCTCTGTTGAACATTTTACTCTGGGTAAAACTATTGATTTTTCTCGAAGTGTCTTTCAAAAATGAAAGAGTTTTGTCGAGCACCCGTTGTGTCAGATGACTGGAGTGACTGTCCCTGTGCAGTAAGTATGACAGCTCTGGGAAGCACAGGTCTTGCTGCACACACGTTGTACAGTGCATGTGCACTTCCTGCCTGCTTCCCACCAGGGGCTGGACAGCACACACATCACAGGGTGACTGATTTTCTGCCAGTAGACCACTTCATGAGTTACTCTTTGATATTCTTGCATATATATTCTTTGGGGGAGACTTGACTCTTTAGTAATGAACTGTCTCAAGATAACACCTTGATTTCAGCCATCATTGCTCCTGAGGACATGCACTATTTTTAATTATGTAACATAGTTGTGAGGCCCAGGGGGGATTGAGATCAAGCAAAATTATCACCTTCAGAAGAGTTAGCCAGCCTGCATCTTGGTCCTGGGAAGTTCTGAGAGAGATCTTGTGGGATGGACTGTGGTTCTGGTAATTTTAATATTGGCAGCATATGGCCTGTGAGATAGATATTAATATCCCTAATGGAAATTTCTAGTATATCACTTTTTCTTCCTTTTGTAATGGAAAACAATCTGAAAAAGAGTGTTTGAGAGTCTTTTAATATTGAACTTTAGAACTGAGATTAATAATGCTCTTGGTTAGTAGAGTATAAACAGTACAGGAAGTGGTCACCTCTTGGTAGTTCTGTGGCTCCCTTAGTACTGGGATGAGAGACCAAGGAAAGCCAAGTTTAGTCAGGAGATACAGCTAGTGATGTATGGTGGTATTTTTTTACTGTCTTGGTTTCAGTGTGGACCATGAACATCCTGTTGAGATCATTGATGGATCTTATTCTCATAGACTTCAAGGATGAAAGCTTGAGTGAACTTTTCATAACACTTTTCACTTATTAGAGTCGGTCTCCTGGCAGAAATTCACATTCACTTTGTGTATACCCTTGCATTTTGAAACCTTTATTTTTCTTTATACTGTCACAACTTAGTGATGAGCCTTTCCCAGGTGCAACAGCCCTTCCAGGTCTTCTAGGAAAGGGCAGGTGATGCATGTACAGCATATGAGGGGCTCTTTGAGCTCCTCATATATTCTTACTGTATGCAGGTGTTGCATCTCATGGTTGCCAAGTAATTCCAGAAGTGATAACTTTTCCAAATGCTGGTTTTAGGTTTAATTCTTTGCTATTCTTCTTTGATACTGAAAAGATCACAAGAAAAATTGGGGAATCCTCAATTGTCTGTGGGGGGAAAAAAACACCCTAGACAGCTTGTCTTGTCTTTGCCTGCAACATAATGTGTTCTGAAACAAAAAAGGACATGTAATTTGATTTTGTTTGAGCTAACTTTAAGGAAAATCTAAACTTTTTTGTGGTGTAGGTCTCAACTAATGTATTGTGTTACCACAAGGTTTGCAAAGGTTTTTAGAGGCTGTAAATGAGCTACAGGAATGTGAATCGGGACGAAGATATTGCAGGGTACATTAACACGTTGCATTTTAATGATATGACTGTTCAATTAGTTTTTATTTTGTAATTGGAAAAAATGAGATTTAGTATGTGCCAAACTACTGGGCTCTAGACTGAATATTTAAATTGAATTCTCAGATGTTGTTTTTGACCAGCATTGTTTCCTAAGAGGGGCAATGTGAAAGTCTGTTTCGTTCCATATCATTACACACAAAGTAATTCTGGAGGTTCACTCCCTTTTCATCCTGTCTAAAGCATTATGACACTTGAGCAGACAGAGGAGTTCCACTTTCTGTGATGTTAGGCAGTAATACAAGTTATACCTGCAGCTGGAGATGAAACTGTCATGGAATAAAATTCCTGAATATGGTCAGCTTCTCTATTGTTGGTTTCAAGCAAATAGCTATGATTGCTCCTAAGCTGTTCGTTGCCCATTAAAATTGTGCATTGTGATCTCTGGAGGTACCTGGTTACTCTGATCAAATCTATTTTTCATGTTCCTTCTGCATACTGTTGTGTTTAAGTGATATTTGTATAAATACAGTATGAATATATGCATATGTCTAGTCAAACTGAGACAGTTTCCACATTTTTATATGCATAATCTTGGAAAGATTTTTGAAAATGGGTGTAAGCTCAAATGTAACGCCGGGTACACAGATTATCACCACATGTGATCATTTCTCAAAACTCTCTTCCTTTGATTGGAGCTGAGATTTTACACTGCTCATTACTATTCAAATATGGTTGTGACAGGTTTTTTTTATAGTCCTGTTGCTATAACCTTAAACATGTGATTTCTTAATAATTCCAAGGATATTCAGCTTCGTAAACTTGAAATCCAGGTTACACTTTTTTAAGGTTGATTGCTCCAGTGTTTCTGATGAGATGTTACTAAACACAGTTAACTGTTACTGTTTTCACCCAGTCCATAATACTGATGTGCAGTCATTGAAGACATCAGAATTGTATTGAAACCATTACTTTACATAGAAATAGGAAACGCTTTTAAGTACTTATTGCAATTTTAGCTACTTAGGAAAGCAAAAAAAGTTTGTGACCAGGCTCATTGGTAATATGATGTAGGGGCTGTAGTGATTTAGTATGAGCAGATACCACAGTACCTGAGCTGCTACCTTTATAGAAATTGTGCTGTGTTGATGCTGCTGCTTCTGTTCTTTATGTGCTGTATTAATTGACTGAAGAAAACTTAGTTTTTGTTATAAACACAATTTTTAACACATCTGTAAAATTTTGTGTGGATGTTCTATGTACCTGACTGTAAGTAATTTTTATCAGCTGAAGCGCTTTTTGAAACTTCTGCCTAGGTGGTTGAGGTGGTACTTCTCTTAAAAATCAGGTTCCTGTCTCACTGGTGTTGACCTGAGACCAATTTATACCAAGAAGTGAGGTTAATAAAGTTACAGGAGCAGCACAATTGGATGTGGTTATTCCTGTATAAAATCTGCTTCCAAATGGCTGGCTCTAAGACAGAGTGTGATAGAAGCCATCAAAACTTTACTACCAAAGAGGATTAAAGTGTCATCAGCTGGACTTCTCATAGGAAGCAAAGGCATTAATCTTATAGATTTGTTTCTGTTCTGATGATCAGCAATTACTTGTACAATTTTCTTGTAAACTAGTCCGGGTCCATATCTGAATTCTGAGAATTAGGCATGGATTTAGACTGAAATGTCAGAGGATGTTATGCTCCCTTACAAGTGTCAGCTGGCTTCTCTTTGAAAGAATGCTTCTCTCTTCAAATCCGTGCTCATACTGGCTGCTTGTCAACCTGTGCTTTTCAACAATTCAAATTTAATATCTCTGTTTTAATTAGGGGTTGGTATTCACTTATTGGAAAAGCTATCTATGCATAGTGATTCACATGAACCATGTCTTTTTCTTTGATCTTTAAAACCTGCATTTGCTTGTCATTTTATATTTATTGCCATTGATTACTGTACCTTGTGCTGTTAAATCCTGGTTGCAGTGTCTCAAACCTGTGTGTTCCTTTGATCCAAAGGTAGATGGGATTGACTAATGAATCTGGCAGTTATTAGGAGAAGGGACTATATAGTATTTGTGTCTTTCTAGAAATAGTAAACAATTGCATTAAAGAATGAAACCAGAACAAAAATTAGCACAGTAGTAAATAATCTGTATTTATGACCCTTCCCTCCTGCTGTTTTTAAATGTGTGGCATTAGTAAGTAATTTCTTTTCTCATTTTTAACAACTCTGAAAATCTTCCCTTGAAAAGGCTCATGCATGGTTGCTTAGCTACAACATTGTATGTGTGTTATGCATTTCACCTTCTGAATAAAAATAACATGAATTTTAGGAATTTCCTATTCATTAATAAGCACTGAGGAACAAAGCAGAAAAGTAAGGGAAAATGAAACAGGAATGTTACTTAGTGAATATTTTTTCCCCTATTTTGTTTATGCATTTTCCTAAAAATGTCTACATTTAATCCCTACCAAGTAGAATGTTACAATAGGCAGTGAGTTCTGGGGATAGAGAACCTGAACTTCAATAAGAAGGTTACTGTAAAATGTGTCGGTAATTTTTTATTAAAAAGCCAGTGCTTATTCTCTTTCTTAGTACATATTGATATAAAAAGGACCTTTCTAATAATAGTCAGGTTTTCTTGGTTGTAATCTCAGAAGGTATAGAAACAAGCAAAAGATCCAAGTCTACTATTTCTGCACCAACTGCCTGCTCATATTCTGGTGTATCCTTTGTGAATGGACATAATCTCACTCTGTGGGCTTTTGTACCATAGAGATGACTTTCAGATAAATGGATTTGAGGAATTGTACAAGGTTATTTTAGATGAAAGTAGAATTAGCACCTTTGTTTTAATGGTAAGGTAGTTCATAATTAGTAACAACTGAAGTTACAGAGACACAGTGAGGTGAAATACACAATATGCATGCCAGATTTTTTTCTCTTAGAATCTTAACTCCTCCATTCCTTTTTTTCCTGCATTCTATGATAAGCAGGTCATTTCATATCAATGTTTTCAAAAATTGGACTATGATACTGTGCTAAGTGCTGGTCCTGTGGATTCTAGAGATTTACTTGGTTTCTAAAATCTGGGTATTTGCAATGTTGATGGGAGGACAAAATGTAAAATCTCTTTTCAGAAAAGACATGTTGCCTCTCCTGTTCTGGGCATGTCCTTATTAAAGATCTGGAAATAATGTGGTTAAACTCTTTGCCCTGAATCTGTTCTCAGAGCTTCCTTCAGGGGTGGAGCTGTGTGCTGGTGGCACAGCACAGTGTGCACTGTCTGTGTGACACAGTGATCGTGCATTGGCCTTGTGCTCGTCTGCTGCTGCCTTCTGCATGTGGGAATAGGATGTTCAATAACAAACTCTGCAGTTCGTGTCTGCTCACTGCAGCAGAAGTTCTAAAATGTTTGTGAATTGCTCTAGGTCAGAGTGGTGTAAAACTTTGATAATACTGTAGATTTCAGCCTTGTGTTATCTAAAGGACCCTTATAAGTTGACAGAGGGAATAGATTTGTTTATAGAACATTAAACAGAAATAATTTGCTCATGCAGTTTTCTATGTGTGTCTTCTCAAAAGAGATTCTAAACTAGGATCTTGTTTTGTTCTTCTTTAATAGAAATCTGGTAAAGAAGTACTGTCCTAAACGCTCACCAAAAGACGAGGAACCCAGGTAAAAATGTCCATTTCAAGTTCTGTGTGTAAAAAGTGAAAACTAACTGTATACGCTGTCCTTTTATGGATTTTTTATTTAAGATAAAGTATTTAATTGGTGATGACAACAAAAGAATTGTGCTTGGCTTCTTACAGTTCTGCTGTAATTCTCAAGCATGTTCACTTCCATTGGTATTTTAGTGTAGTAGACATGGCAGGTTGTACTTTCTCCCCTCCAAAATAATCTTTAGGTAACTTAAATTTTGAAAGCAGAAGTTTAGTTTACTATGTACAGACTAGTATTGTTTTTTAAAGAAAAGCAAGTGTGTGTCCTTAGGCTTTAGTTTTTTGCTTAGTAATAGAGATTTTCAGTGCATTTTTATGGCAATACAAATGTAGCTATGCATCTCTATAGTGAGACATGAGTGTACACAAATTGTCATGTTATGGGCAAGAGGAGCTCTCAAAATGCTGATTTGCTTTGACTCCGGAGACAAAATAAGTGGATGTGTACTGGTGGAGGAACAATTTGTGCTAAACAACTTTATTTATCAAAAATGTGCTTGTTTTGCTGTCCATTCCATAGCCATTTAAAAATTTATTTGAAAAAGCACAGTATTTTTTTTCTTTAGGGCTAAGCCTTAGGAAATAAAACAAGTGGACAAGTTTCAGGTTGCAGCCAGAGCACATACTGTGCAGAGTGCCTGAGAATTCACAGTAGGAATTCCTCTAGCTCTTTAAACTACGTAGAGATCCTGGACCTGAGGGAATAGGCCTTCCAGTGCTAGAGTGGCATTTGAAATTCCCAAAAGCCAAGCCTATGGAGATGGCAGTAATCCACAATTAAAAGAGAGAAAGATGTATATTTTAATGTGGTGCCTGTTTTTTTTTCCCCTTTCTTCCCTTCCACACATACTTTCTACCCTTTGCCCCTCCTCTTCCCCCCTTTTCAGTGCCAGCCATAGTGGCACCTTACTTCCAGCCAAGAGGTGGGCAGGCAAACAGGCAGCAGAGCTGATAGCAAACCTGTTCAGTAGCCCCATCGGCATGCATAGCAGTGGCATGATTGGCATGTTCCACCCTGGAGAGCACCGAGCACCTCATCTGCAGCAGGCTCAGCTCCCAGCCTAGGCACGGGGGTATCCCTTCCCAGGCTCAGGCCCCTGCCGGGCCAGCTTAGGAGATGCCACTGTACTACAGGGCTTGCCAGGTAGTATTCTTCTTCTTTCTTTTCCATCCACAACCCCCTGTTCTTGTAAAACGTGTTTGAAGAGACGTTGCAACGTGTAGTCCGTGCTAGGCTTGACTTAGGCTTTCCCAGCTTGTGTTTTACTCTGACTCAATTAGCATTCAGATAAGGTTTATTGTAAAATGTCTGTGGTTTTTTATTCAATCAGGAGTACAGGCTATACTAAAATAAGTGTATTTTGAAAAGCTGCCTAACTTTTTGTGTGTGTGTGCTTTCTGTCAGGTTTACCTCGTGTATTGCCTTTTTTAACATCCTCAATGAGCTGAATGACTATGCAGGGCAGCGAGAAGTAGTTGCAGAAGAAATGGGACACAGAGTGTATGGAGAATTGATGAGATACTCTCATGATCTGAAAACTGAGAGAAAAATGGTAATTTCTGTGGTTTTAAAGTTGAAAATAGCATATCAAGATGTATGTCTTTTAGTGAACTGATGTATTTGTTTACCCATTTTGATGAACACAGCAATACGTAGGTTTTGTGATACATTTATTAAACACATTTAAGGTTTTTATATAATATATAATGTTATATACTATAATACAGTTATTAAACCTAAAAATTATTTTCTTGGGAAGACAGTGTTTGCTAGAGATCTTTTTTTTTTTGCCAGTGTACCACAGTATCTGGGATACAATTCTTGTGTGTTAGGTAATATCTTCCAAAGAGTATGGGTAGCTTGTGGAAGATACTGCACATCATAGGCTGTCAATTAGAGCAGGGACTAATTATTGGTAATAATAGTAAAAATATAGGCAAATTTAATTTATTTGTGGTGTTTTTAGCATCTTCAGGAAGGGCGAAAGGCTCAGCAGTATCTGGACATGTGCTGGAAACAGATGGATAATGTGAGTTTGTGTTTGGATTTTATTCCTGTTGAACTTAAATAAGATATACTGGCTATAGTGGAATTGTTTTCATCTCTCTTGCTTAGATTTAATATTGAGGTATATTACTAAATATACAAATAATTTAGTAACATAATACAATTCAATGTATTTATAGTTCCCAAATTAAAAATCTCCTGTAAACAGCTTCTGTGTTTGTGTTTGAGAGAAGCCTTGGCTTTTATCCAGCATAACCAGCATAAAGGAATCTGGTTTTAGCATGGGTACAGACTTTTGTTGCTTCTCCTTGGGCTACTAAAAATGATAGTTTATTTATATGAAGATGAAATCTTAAGTCACTGAATTTGACTTGAGCTTGAGGGCTTGTTCCAAGGTATATTCAAGAATACCACTATAGACTATTGTATTTTTGGAAGATAGAATTACTGTTTAACAGATTAATGCAGAAAGTGAATGTCTGTAGGACAGACTGTAAGCTTCTTTTTCTTGAAACAAATGCTTTTAAAGATAAGAAAATATAAAATTCAACCAAGTCTGTTCAAGATGCATTCTGATATTCTGGTTGTCTGTCTTAAAAAATTATTATACCTTTGATTCAGATTATTGTGAAGCAGTACTGAAGAAGTGAATTTCTGTTTTGTTGTTGTGGTCCCAGATGAGCAGGGTCTTGCTTCCCTGTCATGTCAAAGAGTTCTGCTCTTCATCAGAGGATCAGAATAGAAGCATATGTGGTGGTTTTAGATGTTATCTCTTCACCAAGATAGTTCCCACAGTTCAGCTCAAGCAATACAGTGCAGTATATTTACCTGAGTGCAAAGTCAGTCTTTTAAATACATTTAGATGCCTTTAAGGGACACACCCACCTCAGTTGCCTGACTTTGCTGTGAAGCAGGAGCTCAGTGTCTCAGTTGCAGTTTCTCTCTAGAGATGTGAAATTCTGCAATAATTTTTCCTACAGCAGTTGTCTTGACAACAGCTGCATATAGAGAACATCAAGTATATTGAATACTGTTGTCTGTGCTACCTGCAGCTGTGGCACTTGACATGAATACTGATGATGATTGTAGTGTAGATACGTCCTTCACACTGCCTTCAAAATAATTCAGTTGACCTAGTTGCTGTGCTAACTATGTGCTTCTTTAAAGGGACTTAGTGAATTTAAGATACTTAAAAGGAAGCTTTGATATTTAGAATTCAGAATTAATGTTGGAATAGTGGCTGTTGAAGCAGTAAGTTTGTGCCTTTTGTAGAGCAAAAAGAAATTTGAGAGAGAATGCAGAGAGGCAGAGAAGGCACAGCAAAGCTATGAGCGACTGGACAATGACACTAATGCGACAAAGGCTGATGTTGAGAAGGTAAGGGTGTGGTGGCTTTACTTTATTATCAATTGTATTTCATTTACATGTTAATCAGCAGTACTGAAACAATATTCATGGAGTGTGTAACATTGTGTGTAAAATATGCTTACTTGTTATGTGCAAAATCAAAGTTCCAGTGACGTGTAAGACAGCACATGGAAGGAGTGTGCTTCAGAATCAGAATGGTTTGGGTTGGAATGGACCTTGAGGACTCCCCTGCCATGAGCAGGCACAGCTTCCACTAGACCAAGCTGCTCAAAGCCCTGTCCAACCTGGCCTTGAACACTGCCAGGGATGGGGCATCCACAGCTGCTCTGGGCAACCTGTTCTAGTGCTTCACCAACCTCATAGGGAAGAATTTTTTCCTAATGTCAAATCTAAACCTGCCCTCTGAGTTAAAAATCATTCCCCCTTGCCCAATCGCTACCTGCCCTTGTGAAAAGTCCCTCTCCAGCTCTCTTGTAGACCCTCTTTAGGTACTGGAAGGGGCTCTGAGGTGTCCCCAAAGCCTTTGCTTCTCCAGGTTGAAAATCTTCAAATCTCAGCCTGTCTTCATAGGAGAGATGCTCCAGTCCTCTGATGATCTTTGTCCTTGTTTGGACTCTTCCCAGCAGGTCCCATTTCCTTCCTGTGCTGAGGCCACTCCAGGTGGGGTCTCAGGAGGGCTGAGAGAGGGGCAGAGGCAGCTCCCTTGAGCTGCTGGCCACGCTGCTTTTGGTGGAGCCCAGGATAGGGTTGGCTTTGTGGGCTGTGAGTGCACATTGCAAGGCCCCCAGGCCTTCTCCTCAGGGCTGCTCTCACCCCATTCTCTCCCAGCCTGTGTTAGTGCTTGAGATCACTCCAGCTCACATGCAGGACCTCCACTTGGCCTTGTTAAAGTTCATGAGTCCCTCTGGATGGCTGTGCTGGGTGTCTTCCTTTAACTGGCAGCTGGCTCCTGTTTGGTACTTCATGGTTTATGGGATCAGTCACTTCTGTGGGTTTTAGGATACACATTTAGCAATCTGGCTAAGGGAGCTACAGTGATCATTGCTTTCTCTGTGTACAACAAATGAGATTTTGGGGTGTCAGTATATGTCAAGTCTCACATTCTTCATATTTCAGTTATAAGGATGTTGGCTTTGATGACTGTTACTGCACAGTTGATAAAATAAACTAAAAGAATTCTGTGTGTCACTGAAAAGTACAAGACATGTTTAACCTGGTAACACTTTCCTACTAGGCCAAGCAACAGTTAAACCTGCGCACACACATGGCTGATGAAAACAAAAATGAATATGCTGCACAACTACAGAATTTTAATGGAGAACAGCACAAACACTACTACATTGTCATTCCTCAGATTTACAAGGTAAAAGAATTCACGATAAAGTATGTCTAATCCTTTTCTAATGAAGAAGTAGGCTTTAAAATTAAAAACTCTGGGTTTTTTGGATGTTAGTGGGTCGTTTTATCAAGAAATTACCATAATCTTGAGACAACTTGTGTTTTTTCATGAGACTGCTTACCATACTAATGCTTAGATTTCTAACTAAAATGCTTGGTTGCATTTTCTCTAAGATTTATACTTTATAGACTCTTAGTTTAAATATTTCTGAAAGGGTCTGGCAAAATAAACACTTGAGATGTCTGGGTGAGAGAAGACATTTAAAACAATCATTCTGATCAGGGTTGGTCAGTAGTTCTCAGGGTCCTTGTGAGTTTGTGTGATGCTCTGCCTGTGCTGAGGTGAAGGACAGCCCAGAGCTGACGGTGGCTGTGCTTTCATGGATCTCATGCATGGGTTAAAAAGGCTGCATTGGAAGCACAATTCCAGCACCCTCCCAGCCCCCAGTTAGTCCTTGCTCCATCACTGTTGCCAGCAATCCACAGGTCTCTCTAAACCAAGTAAAAAAGTTAAAGATCAATACTTTGCATCTAAAGTGGGGATTTCTTGAGATGCTCTATGTAACTAGTAAGATTTGTTTTTTTAACATTCTTTCAAAAACATGGACTTTGCAAAACTGGAAAACCAGTTTAAAATAGTTGGGGTATCAGGTGAGGAGAGTTCAGAAGGGTGTTGGCATGTAGCCATTTGGGAAATATGGGTGGGAACTGATACTGAGACAGGGAGTGAGGAAATGCAAGATGAAACGCTGGGTTTATTTGGAGGAATTCAACTTCAATATGCTTGATATTTTCCAGCAGCACAGGTCAGTTCGTATTTTTTTTTTTTAATACTTACTAGAAGGTCTAGGATTCACAGGAGAAAATTACCTTGGCTTATTAAAGAATTTTCTAATATTTTAACAGTTAAGCAGCACCACAGTAGGTCTGACTTCACACACTGATCCAAGAACTGCAGTCAGCTCCCAGCAGAAACAGGCTGATCATCTTTGTAGCTTGCACCAGACTTGTGCTTTACTGCCTTTATTTCTCCAGGGTTAAGATCCATTAGCACTGTAAGATATTACTCATATTTTTTGAACTCTACAGTAAGAGCAGAATGGCCTAGTCCTGTTTTCTCTTGGGACTACACTTTATTACTTCACTGCAAGTATTTGGGGACATTCTATGGGAAAAACTTGGAGAAGGGTTTAGCACGTTGAGGTGGTTGTTTTGTCTTAGAGAGACAAAATTGAATATTGTTTGAGACATCTGCCTCAGTGTAGATAGAGGACAGATTCAACTTCTTATCCAGTTTTTGACAACCTATTGGTATATGTTTTACTGATTTTTGGTTTTGTTTGGGGTGTTTTCCACATTCAGGTGAAAAGCCCACAGCTGTTATCTTAACAGTATTTCTCTTGAATTTATTCTTTTGTGTTCTGTTCCAGTAAACTTTGATTGCAAATCTTATGTAATGGTATTCTTCTCTTTATTTTCTTGCACACTGCTAAAGGAAATGGTTTGTATTTCAAATCAGTGTCTAAAGTGCCAATAATTTTAATTTTTCTTATTTTTCCTGTATTTTAAATAATTGGTATTGCTTGGAAGGTATAATAATAAAAGCAACATGGATATATTTATCACCAGAGAGGAATTACTTTGAACTAGAAGGAGAGAGTGAGGAGATGTAGAAATCAGTAAAATTTCTTCAATGTGGTTCTCATTTTTGCATAAAACAAATACTTCAAACAGTTGCTTGTAAACACTGTACATGTGCTCTATAAAAGAAAAAGGAAAAGAAAGTCCCATCCATTACATGATTTTTAGAAATCAAAGAGCATGAAGTCTTCATAACTATTGTACTGGGCATCCTAAGACTGTGTCTGCAAGGAGTTCTAAGTTCTGGTTTTTTTAAGCAGATAAAAATACTGGGGAAGCATAGAAATTCTGTCCCACACTGTGGTGACCACAGTAACTGCATATGTCAGGATCAAGGAGGAAAAAAACCAGCAAATGAAAGCTTTATTTTATCTTTCTTTGCACTTGCAGCAACTTCAAGAAATGGATGAAAGGAGAACTATCAAACTTAGTGAATGTTACAAAGGCTTTGCTGACTCTGAGCGCAAGGTTATTCCAATTATCTCAAAATGCTTGGAGGGGATGATCCTTGCAGCAAAATCAGTTGATGAACATAGAGTAAGTAGAACTGAGTAACTTTTTAAATATGTGTGAGCAATTGAACTGCTGCAGAAGCTGTGAAGAGGGGAAGGACTGACTTACCCTGTACAGTTATCTTTCTCTTGTCAAATATTTGCTTCAAAAGTGTTGTGACTTCCATTTCAGCAGAAGGGACCACTTCTGCTTTTGTTGTCTGCTCTCTTTCTGCTTTATTGATTTAGTTTAATCTGAATATCTCTGACACATTCTCATTGGGTGTGATTTTGGACACATTATTTTGGTTATCTTAAAATATCCTGCAATACTGTGGTCATTATTTTCCCCTGCATGTGACATTAAAACATATAAAGGGTGTTCAGTTAACAAAGTATTCATTCTGTGTCCTGCTTGACTGCAGCAGGTTCTGTCCTATTTTATCTTACTACATCTAGTTTCTTAGTTCTGTCTTCATTTCAGTGCCACTGTTGTAAGATTAAAAGGGGGAAAGTAGTTTGGCCCTGTTTTAAATTTGTGGTAACCTTTGGGAAGTATTTACTGGAATATTCTAAATAGCAGAGTATGCTTTGCTATACACTCATGAACAATGTTGAGATAAAAGAATGTTATCTTCACTTGCTCTATCCAAAAGTGTGTGTTTTGAGCTCACTCTTACTTTCTGTGCATCTCTGCAATTAAATGGAAAATTTGTCTCCATTTTTTCTCTCTGGTTCTTGATGGGTTTGCTTTTTAAACTCCTTAATGTCCTGTGTTTAGGACTCTCAACTAGTGATAGACTGCTTCAAATCTGGTTTTGAGCCTCCTGGAGATTTTCCATTTGAAGACTACAGTCAGAATATTTACAGAACTATCTCTGATGGAACCATCAGTACACCAAAGCAAGAGGGAATGAGAATTGATACAAAAACTACAGTTGGCAAGGCTAAAGGAAAGCTGTGGCTATTTGGAAAGAAACCAAAGGTAACAATTAAGTAATTACTATTGGGAAAATTAAAATTTGAAAGTACATGGAAGCAGCAATTAATGTAGTTATAAAAAATCTTCCCCTTGCCTGCCCATGTCTTTTAAAGTATGTGTAAGGAGATCAGAAGGGTTGAGTAGGTTTGGGTACTTACCATGGTAAAAATCAAGTTGTCAATGGGGAAGTTTTTCAGTTTTTCTTCTAGTAATTTGTGTCTGGGAGCATTTTTAATAGTTATTTGATAAAAGTAGCTTCCCATTACTGTAATGTTTCTAAGATTCTGTAAAGACTTTCTGTAGTTGCATAGGAAAGTATTAATTGTGAGTGTAAAAATAAGGAGAGGAGAGAGAATGCTTTGGAATTGGGCAGACTTCAGACCTGTCTGTTCTGGCACAAAAAGCAACCCCCTTCTAAATGTCACATTTATATGGAGGAGTACAGATTTTTATTACACCTCTTGCAAGTTTTGAAAACTCCCAAGCTTTCTCTGAAAACATCAAAATTTATAATCTATCACTGGTAAAACATACTGTGGAAGCTCCATAAAGGTAAATGTACTAGAAGAAATATTACTAGGAACTAGGTAAAAATATTCCAATGCTCAAGAAAAAATTGAAAGTATTGAAATTACTACTTTGTTTTCTTATGAGTTACAGTTCACACTTTCTGTGCAAGATGCCTTTGTGGATCAACAGAAGATAGTCAGTATATGAATTAGCTATATAAATGAATGGAGCATGTACATATTTAAATTTATTTATCTTAATTTAATATTGGAGCATATCACTGAGCTGTTTTAATGATTCCCACAAATTTTTGTGAGATTATTTTAATGCTCCAAGCCAGTTTCTGTCATTTATTACAGGAAACTATTCTTAGGGCTTCTTCATAGTGGAATTTATTTTCCAGTTGATAGTATTCTGAGAGAGTAGGTATTTACAGAAAGGAAGGATACAGCTGATTTTTTTATTCCATCCTCAGTATATGATATAACTCCAGCTGTGTGTTAAAACTGATTGTTTCCTTTTCATGCAGTATAATTAATGATTCATAGCATGCATTAATACATGGACATATATATTGCATTTGTCTGCAGAGGTGGGTGAGATTCAGCCTGTTCTGAAATCAGATGACAATTGCCAGTTTGACCACAAGACATCTTTCTGAGAGTTTGGAGAGTTACAGAAATGTTCCCTGGTTTCAGCCTGGTCCTTGGCAGTTGCTGTAGTTTATTAGAAATCCCTTAGTGTGATGACAGCTGAAATAAGCTGACAAGACTTGCCCTACTCTTCCTTCTCCCCAGTTCAGTCACTGTGTGTGTGCAGCATTCAGGGAGTGCAGCCTTACTGGTTTCTCTGTGGAGTCACAGGTGTGACGTGTGTGCACATACTGCATGCATCTCTTCCCTAAGGACATGGATGAGATTTTGTCTGGTTTTGGGGAGGATGGAGGAGTGCTCTACAAAACAGCAGCTGGAAGCAAAATATTTACTGAAAGTTACATATTTAATTCCAAATACTGTTCACATGTTTAAAAATATATTCTTAAGTTATCTATTATAAAATCAGTTGGTTTACTACAGCTGGGGTATTCATGGGGGTCTTTGGACCTTCATTTAGCTGAAGCTATGGCTGGTCTTGACTTCCAGGTATTCCTTTACCTATTTTTAATGTTGTCAAAGACATAAAAGCCTTTTGTAAAGGGAATGAGTTGTGCAGCGGTGGGATTAGAGGGAAATTGAACTGGGCAAGAATAGCAGAAGCATAAGAGACAAAAAATGAGAGAAGCAATTTGAAAAAAGGGAAGGAGGTTCTTGTGATGGTATTAAGAATGCCATGCAGCCATTGTGTCAGTCCAGCTTGACTGCAGAGTTTGAGAATGCTTTTTGTTTTAGTCATTCTCTATGGACGTACCAAATATTTCTGTTTTGGCTAACCTGGTCGGGTGCCTCGATATGTAGGAGGAAGGAGTGAGCAGAAATGCTTGAGCTTCCAGGATTGTAACTAAGCTGGCAATAGCAGAGCTGTTTTAGGAAAAGAGACAGGGAGCTTTGGGATCTTGTTAGGATCTTGTGCCAGTGTTGAGGCTAAAGCTTCCTTCCTTCTCTGCAGCAGCCCATAACTCTGAAGATTAACTCATGACAGAAAGCTTTTAAACCCAATGCAGTTATAGTATAAATGTGTCTGGAATGTTACAACCTGTTTCTGTGTTGGATGGAAATTTTATTTTTGTAAGACAGAATTTTCATTTTAAAATCACTTTGAACATTTGGCTTATTTATTGCTTTCTTTATTTCCACATTAGCCACAATCCCCACCCCTAACCCCTACTAGTTTATACACATCCAGTACTCCTAATGGGTCCCAGTATCCCATATTCTCCATTGAACCAGTGCATTATTGCATGAGTGACATAAAAACAGGGAAGCCCAGAATTCCTTCTTTCAGAAGCCTCAAAAGAGGGGTAAGTTTGATAACAAGTTGAAATGCATGATGGGCTATGAGCAGTGTGTTTGTGATGTGGCTTTTCTAATGCTCTTCACCCTCATTATAAGGCTTACTTAGTTAAAAGTAACATGTCAGCCATAAGGTCAGTTTTAGGATCCTTTGTTTCATACTATTCAGAAGTTACCAACAGATTAAAAAGAAATTAAAATTGAAATATTCTTTATCACATTTGAAATGCTCATGCCTAAAAAAAGGTGTTATAAAGAGGGTGCTCAGCATGTGTTTGATTTTCATTGTTGTTCACATTCACAAATGTTTTCCTACCATCATGTAACATATATTTTCAGTAATTGATCATTGGATATACGGTTACCACAAAAATCATCTGGCAGATCCAATGTCTTATTTGCTGACTTTGAAAATAGTAGAAGTTGATTACGAGACACTGAACTAAGAAGGAAGAATTTAATTCCTTTTGTACGTTAAATGCTATAGCTTATGGTGATGGCAGATTTTGAAATACTGATTTTTTAAAAAAAAACATTACAGCATTAATGTGTTTTCTGATTAATTAGTTGCTCTTGTTTGTCCTAGTTTCTTTTGGATAGAATTATTGAAAAAATTACTACCAAATGCCACAGAGACTTATAAATTAATTTACTAATACAGTAGTATATTCTGCAAATAGAATTTGTCTGGAAGCCAGTAGAAGGGAAATATGAAGTGGTTTCCTAGCAACATTTATGCTGCTAGTGATAAGTGTACTGTTACTTTCCTGTTATGCCAGAAAAGCACAGGCTGCCCAGTTTATGTTGTTTAGTGGGATTTATTCATCCAAATAAGAAGGTAATTGGATGCATTTGGTTGTATATAATTAATAATTTTTTGGTATTTCAAGACAATATGGACTTGCTATCTCATGTGCATCAAGAATGGTTGACTCTTGTCATAATGTGGAGATCAAGGTACAACAATGCAGTAAAGATACAATTCAGAGGCTCCCTTCTTGTCATTGTGAAGCAGAATGAGTTACAGTTAAAACTTTATTTATCTTAAATCATGTTGTGGCATCTAATTTCAGGCCCCCAGATACCTTGGAGAGAGCCTTCCTAGCACTGCCATTTTTTAGAAGTTCCTCTAAGTGTGTGTGGCGTCTCCTTTCCCTTCCAAGTCATTAGATCATAACTGGGTCTGGTTGTGGAGGTAATTCCTCCTCTTCAGTGCTCAGGGAGGAGCTGCCTGGATTAGGGAGTTGGTGGAATGGCACAGGCCTTGATAACACTTGGATTTTGTGGATCACTACAAGTATTGACTCCTGCCTCACCAATCATCACCTTGTAGTACCAGTAGTTCTAGAACCTCTTTTGAAGGGAAAGATCATATAACTACTATAGAGTGCTAATGGAAAATGAAGCCATATCTTTATTGATTTTTAAATATATTCTTCATGTTGTAAAGTTGAATTAATAAATTCTTTAAATAATTTAAATTTAATAATTCTTTAACATTAGGAAGCATCACTAGGGTCCTGCAGATCTAGACTCACTCCAATGTGCCATAATATTAAAGACTTAATCTCTGTAAAATCTTCAAAAATGAGCATTTAATTTACATATATTCTGAATTTCCTTGCAAGCATTTTAACAAAGACCACATTATTGCATATTTTTAAAGTCTTTTGAACTTAAATGTATACTGGACTAGTAATAGATTTTTTTTGAATCTCATTGATCAGTCTTATCTTTATAATATGCAATGATTCAATGCTTAATAGTATGTGATGCTGTTTCCCACGTGTTTTGTCCCTGGAAAATTATTTCCAAGCGGTACTGAAATGCAGAAATACTAAACCATAGAATGATAGAAAGGTTTGGTTTGGAAGGAACCTCAAAGATCAACCCTGCCATGGGCAGGGACCCCTTCCACTAGACCAGGCTGCTCAGAGCCCCATCCAGCCTGGCCTTGAACCTACCAGGGATGGGGCATCCACAGCTGCTCTGAGCAACCTGTGCCAGTGCCTCCCCACCCTCTGAATATAGAATTTCTTCCTAACATTCAATCTAAATCTATCTTCTTTCAGTTAAAAAATGTTCCCCTTTGTCCTATGACCATCTGCCCATGTAAGATGCTGCTCAGTTTGCTTCTGCTGAGCTTTATCTGTGAGTTGGCATCCATCAGCCAGTGAAGCCTCCTGGTCATTTTATTTAACAGGCCCTGTACAGGATGTCAGTCAAGGTGCTGGAGATCACAGACCCAGTGTTCCTCCACTCTGTGCTTCACACAGTTCATTTTCCTGTCATTTTCCAGAGCAAGAGCAGCAACGAGTAGCTCTAGAGTAGGTATTTACAGAAGGTGTAAGCCAGTGCAGCTGTGTTAGCACTGCTGGTACCTGCTGCTGCTTCTCCTTTGACATGTTAACAATTCCAGACAGTGCTAGTGCTTACAGAGGTCTGTGCTTGATGCCACTTGGTACATAAAATATCTGCATTATCAGCAGTGATCTGTAAACCCTAACAGAGTTTTATTGGAAGACTCTGAAGGGAACAGGAAGTTTGTTGATGTCATTTTGCATCTCTGGACTTCAAGATTCCTACCAAAATACTGTTTGTGAAGGTGCTTTATGTCCCTCATTGCTAGAAATTCTAATGTCATGTATGTACCCCAAGCAGCAGCCTTAAAAATTGCTCAGGGTAAAAGTGAAGTTGAGATACCTGTCTTCTAAGTTGCTTGGTGTTTCTCTGGGAAGGGTTGTCCAAATCCTTAAAAGCATGGTAGAGCTTCAAAATGCTAGGAATGTTACAGCCAAGATTCAGCTCCTGGCACCCATGTTTTATTTGCTTCTTCTAAGGATAAAGTCTTTACTCTTTAAATGTCTTTATTTTTATCTGGACTAAAACAATTTTAGATAACAACAATGACCCAAATGCTGTTTTCAGAAAGTAAAATTAATTACTTCTGGACTTTAAAAATGTCTGTTTATTCTAGATCTGCTGTGATAGTAGACTAAATACATTGCAAAAGCTACATTTATAAGAGCGAATGCAGTGGATTTTGAGCTATCATTAAAAAAATTTTTGTATATGGCTGATCAGTCCATCATCATCAAATTCTGCTATTTTGTGTAATGTTGGCTGTGTGTGTGTTTCTTTTCCTACAACAGAAGGCTCAGCCCTTTATTCAGAACACTAAAATTCAAAAGTAGTTTAATGAAGTTGTGTGTTAAAATTTTGTAAGTTGAAAGTACCCATTATCACCTAGTATTTTTTAATCAGTAATTCTTAAAGCAATTATTTTATTGTGCTTACAGTAAAATGTATTTTTTATAAATGAAAACTTCAATCCTTAAGTGATTTTTAAAAATACATATTTAGGCATTAGTGACTTTGGTAACTGGTCATTGCATGTGAGTAATTTCCCGTTTCTTTCTGTTTTCAAATGAACTGTGCAGTGGTCGGTGAAGATGGTAAGCCCGTGTGCTGATCTGTCTGCTGTACTTCTGCTGAGATAGCATGAAAATAATCTTCTGAAAGTGTTTCCATATCATAACTGCTTTAAGTCAGGTGCTGAAATACATCTCCAGATTTTCCACTCATATGCACAGTCTTCTTAATCATCCATGCTTTAATGTAAGACTATTAGATTTGTGATCTGGCTGCAACTAAATCTGCAATTTTCGGACTTTAGAGTTGACCAGTATTCACAAGTTGGTCATGATGGAAATACTTGGTGATTTTTCTTAGTTAGGAAAATTGTTTGAGCAGCATAAAATATGTATGGGAAAAGATTATAAAATTGGTGTGATGAAGAAATACTGAATACTACACTCCTTTGAATTTGGAAGAAAAATATGCAGGGGAGGATCTTTATGCTTAGAAATACAGGAAACTGTTATATTAAATAAAATCATGCCTTAATCAATATTGTATTGCAGGGTAAATCAGTAAAAAGTCACAAAAAAGCCCTCTGTTCTTCTGATTAATTTTTAGGATACTCTGGTTTAAACCAACATGTAAGGAAGACTGATAGAGAGGACATGATTGTATTTTTGTTTCTTTGTGGTGTATTCCACTTAGCAGTGTTTTCTTGGGAGACTTTCTGAAGGGAATAGGAAGTTTGTTGGTGTCATTTTTCATCTCTGGACTTAGACACTATATTCTTCTGTATTCTTCTTCCTCCAGAAAGAAAACCCTTGTTTTATTTTGAAAACATATCTTGATTTTCCTTCTTTTACCATATCTCGTATTCCCTTCTTAAAAAGTAATGAGATTGATTTTACAAGTGCAGAAAAGTTGAGAGGGTGAGAAGATCTAAAGCGAGGGTGTTGGAAACTTGGCATCTGAGCCTAAGGCTTGTGTCAAAATCTGAACAGTCAAGTTTCTGTAAACTTCCTTCTTGACAAAAGAAATGCTGGCCAGTTTGGTTTGCCTCCATGGAGGGTAAGTGGGTTTCTTAGGTTAAAACCAACTTCCTTAGGCAAATGGGATCACAAAAACCAAACAAACCAAAAAAAACAACCCAACAAACCAACCCTTTGGTGAGTAAGGCATGTACTGTACTTCCTTCTTAACACTGTCAGTGTCTGTCACCCTGATGGGAAGAGTTTTCACAACAAACTTGCAAGATACATAAAAAAAAAAATCTCTTCCCATGCATTTCATACCCAGGCCCTTCTATCCTGCTTATTATAATCCTGGCACAAGTTCTCAATCAAGTTTGCAGGTTTGGGTTCATAAAACAGGTGGTCTTAAATTGGCTGGTTTATGATTCTTTTTTTAAAGTTTGGGAAGTAAGAGGGGTTTTTTCCCTCCCTGAAGTTTTTGGTTGTTGGTTTTTTGTTTATTATTTTCCTGTAAAAAAAGGTGACTTGGAGTATTTGAGCAAGTTTTGAGTCAAATAAACAAATTTAAGTAATACTTTTGATATTACAAAGGTTTTTTCTGTGCTTTGTGAACCAGTTTTACTTGAGGTAGAATTCATCAGAACTTTGTAAATTTTAATATGTTTTCTAGGATTGCTGAAGTTCTGGAAGAGAACTATAATAGTGCTTTGGAGTGAAGATCCAAAATACAGCATTTTTCTTTTGATACCATCCAAATAACCACAGAACACAGTCCAGAGAAAGAAACAATTTATATATATGTATATATATATTATATACACATCCTAGATTTTTGTTCTGACTCAAATTATTCTGTCCTTTCTTAATCTTCTTTAAGTGCAGTGGATGTAAGAGGAGGTATATGACTTCAGAAAAATAAAGTCTAGAAATGTTGAGTTACCTCTGTGAGCCAACTGCTACAGAAGGCAGAAAGCACCTTGCCTGAGTGACTCCACTCTGGCAGCAAGAACGTGCATTTACTCTGTGCAGTCTTTTGTAGAGCTGTCTGTCAAGTAGAGTTTTTAAGAAGGTCCATCTGCTTCCAGTGAGCACTGTCCATGTGTGGGTATGTCAGTTCAGCTCCCCAGACCTGTGCATGTGGTAGCTTGTTTCATGGGATTTCTGCTTGCAGGGCCCTGCACTAGAAGATTTCAGCCATCTCCCTCCAGAACAAAGACGCAAGAAACTGCAGCAGAGAATTGATGAACTTAACAGAGAGCTACAGAAGGAAACAGACCAAAAGTGAGTGCATTTTTTGGGGGGTTTTGTCATGGTTCTCTCTCTGGTTTTTTTGACATCCTCTACGTAAGCCAACAGTGCTCAAAAGCTCTAGGAGACAGGCTATTAATAACCTTTTAAAGTTCATCGTTTGTTGTGTGTAGGTTCTGTTAATATTGCTTCCTTCTGCTTTACTGTAATACTCATTTTGATTCTAATACTGCAAAGGGAGCATTGGCTCTAAAATGGGGTTTTAAAAGATGTGTTTGTCAGTTGAGCAACATAGCTGCAACTTCGTGCTTCAAGAACAGAACATGACCAGTATTTAGGAAATTGTATACAACAAACAGTATGGAAACAGTACTGGGACTGGACAGGTAAGAGTCAACAGCTGGAGTCCTTGTGTGCCTGTGCACAGCACAAGAAAGGAAAGCAGAAGGCTGAGATGACAGAGTTGAGAAGGATTTAGGCATGGTATGAAGACCAGCAGTTCCTTGTTGCTGTGCTTGAGATCTAATCACAGTTCAGGATCTCATACACATTATTTTAGCTTTAATGAATACTGGTATATTAATTATTGTAATGGTTTGTATGTTTTTAGAGATGCCCTCATCAAGATGAAGGATGTTTATGAAAAAAATCCACAGATGGGTGATCCAAGCAGTTTGCAACCAAAATTAACTGAGACTATGAGCAATATGGACCGTCTTCGGATGGAAATACACAAGAATGAGGTTAGATTCTAAAACAGTTTCTTGGAAAATGTAAATGATTGGTACAATTGTACTTTGCCATACAGATTTTAAATATAACACCCAGAAAAACTACTTGATTGAAGAGTAGACGTCCTGATACAGTTTTTGTGGGGTGCTGTATTTTCAAGTTTGTTCATCTAGCCAGAATAAAGATGTACATGATTAAAGATATAAACTGTTCAGAAGAATATATTATAATTCACTTATTCTGAAATTCACATGTAATTAAAGATTTTTTCCTCAGGCTAGTATGGAGCATAGGCTCAGCATAAATGATAGTCATGCTTTGTGTGAAATAATTATGAACTTGACATCTGACTGCAATCTCTGTGTGGCTGTGAACTGTCTGCAGTACAATGCATTTGTTCAGTGTGCTGGTTTAGAATCAATTTTTCTTTGACACCAATATTTGCCTTTTTCCCCCAAGGCCTGGCTCTCTGAAGTCGAAGGTAAAGTAGCAGCCAGAAGCGACAGGCGGCACAGCAGCGACATCAACCACCTTGTCACCCAGGGCCGAGAGAGGTCACTATTCTGTCTCCACTGCTTTAGATCCTGTGCTAGAGTCTGTACAGCTCTCTGCAGATTACAGGAGTGATGGCTGTTACTTATCCTCCCCGAGTGGATCAATTTCCTTTCCTTCTAAAGGAAAATCTTAACTGGTTCTGACTTCTAAAGGTCTCTTCTTGCCATTCTGGTAACATATAAAAATAGTCTAATTGAAACACCTGCTCATTAAATAGCAGTGCCTTTTCAACCTGTCTTATTCCATTGCATAAGGCTCACTAGTTTTCCATGTTCTGTGGAGACAGGTATGTCAAATTTATGTTTGTTTCTCAAACAGAATTCAGTGTAAGCTTTTGCTAGAGTTTTTTCAGTATCACCTGACAGTAATATAAGAACTGCTAACAGGAATTGCAGTACAATATCCATGACCTGCCCTTTCTGTGATGCACGGATGTTGTGAGTTTTGGAGCTAAGAACTGCTCAGAGTCCTCATGCTCCCATCATTGCATTGTAGCCCTGAAGGGAGTTACACGGATGATGCCAACCAGGAGGTTCGTGGCCCACCACAGCAGCACGCTCATCCCAACGAGTTTGATGACGAGTTTGAAGATGATGATCCATTGCCAGCTATAGGACATTGCAAGGCAATATATCCATTTGATGGTAAGGTTAACCACGTGCACTGAGATTGACTGTAAGGCATGGATGATTTGTTACAAAGAAGACAGGTAAAATGATTCAAAGCAAATTACATGTGTGAGTAACTAACTGCCTAAAAGATCAATGAAGGTACTTTATAAATTACTTTAATTCATGAGCAGCACTTGTGCTGTTTTAAGATAAATATTAGCACAGCTATTGGAAAATACTCAGCTTTACAAATTGGGATTGGGTTTTTTTTCTAAGTCTGTTTGGCCATATGTTCTCTTGCACAGATTTTTCATGCTTCCTGTTTATATATAATTTGGAAACTATGCCTTGGGAAAAAGATGACTTGAAATTCTGTCTGAACAGTAAGAATTCCTTGCCTCTTGTTCTTCCCAGGTCATAATGAAGGCACCCTAGCAATGAAAGAAGGGGAAATTTTGTACATTATTGAGGAGGACAAAGGAGATGGGTGGACAAGAGCTCGAAGACATAATGGAGAGGAAGGCTATGTGCCAACATCATATATAGATGTAACGCTAGAGAAAAACAGCAAAGGTGCAGTAACCTATATCTAACAGTAAAACTGGCAGCTCTCAGTTGTACATTCCCCAGGGAAAATAGTGGAAAAATTGTAAGTTATACAGACTCATGGAAATAATTACAGAATCAGAAGTCAGCAATGATCTGTTGTTTCCATGGGGAGTTAGCTGTAGTTCTTTCAGAGATGACCACATTAAATTATGCATCTAACACTGGTCTGTAATTTGACCAATGTCTTCTGCTTTCCTGCTTTACAAAGCACTAAATCCAATTCAGCTATTGAAATGAAAAAGACCAAGAGTCCTGCTTGTTCTGTGGAATTCTTAGTTTTTTTAGCGAACTGAAAAAATACTTAAGTTTTAAAGATCTCTGAGATTTACTGTTCCCACTTTTATGACTTAAACTGTATTCTTAAAACAGAGATCTTTTTCCTCTAATAACTAACTGAACTCAGTTACTGAAAATTATTAATTTCCTTCCTTAGCAAATACTTGGCAGCTTTCATTTCTTAAACAGGAAAATGTTTTCTGATTCTGAAAGTTCAACAAAAATACTCAGGAAAAAACATTATGATTAAGAAGGACAGAAAGTCCACTGACCTATCTCCTTCCTTTTCAGTACTTGTAATGTAGAATGTTCTGTATTGGACATGATGTCATTGTTTTAACTCTAGATACCTTGAACAAACAAAAAAAGATCACATGTAATGCTTGATGTCTTACTGGAAACTCTCTGCTCCTGATGAGGGAATGATTTTATATTCTCAATCTGTGCCTGTAAACTAAGTCTTTGAATTGTATTGTGTTTAGTCTGAAGACAGTGTCTTAAATGTACAGTAATTATCCTCATTGTTAAATCACTGAGGACTGGAAGCTGCATTGCACAACTTGATTACTGGAAAAAAAAAAAGCTGATTTTGTATTTCTAATGAGAGTTTGTGGCATTAAGTAGAAGGCTAATGTTTAGCCACTGAGAATGGCCTGTTAGAACTGAGCACGCTTCTCTGTCTTCTAAAGGCCTTCAGTAACTTTGTTCTTTTCTTTTTCCTCTTGGACTGCAGGTTCCTGAAGCGGGTTTCTGAGAAAATGGGCGAGATCTTGAAGGAGGTTACATGCAGCTGCTGGGGGGGTGGGGGTGGGGAGGGGAGGGGTACTAGACTGGGAGGCCCAAGGGACAAGCTAGTTGCATGAATGCATGCAGACATACATTTAGTAGTCACTAACATCTTAGCATCTCCATATATAGGTAAGGATGTACTACAGAATCTTCAATTTGTGCAGGAAAATAGAGTTCCATAACCAGAGCAAAAAGGCTACTGCTCCTAAAATTGCTTTATTTTCATTGTCCTAGGTTGTCCCAGGTGCACAAACTATATTTTAGCTTGTGCACCATTTTAATTTTCTCAAAGATGCTCATTTCCCACTCACTTTTATTGGCAGTCATTTAGAGCCCTGTGTCAGTTATCAGTCTGCCTGTGCCACCTCCATGCTCGCCGTTAACCTCCTCCTGCATGCCTAGGACAGTCAGGCATGTTCTGAGTAACACTTTGCCATCATTGCTCATCTTGTTTTGTAACAAATCATTTTCTTTAAGTATCTTCAGCACTAGAGTTTCATCCCAGTATCCATGTATGCTGCTATAACAATACCACTGCAACCATCATTACATTCCAGATGTTTGGCATAACTGATAAGCGACTGTAAGGTATTTTGTTAATTTGGGGGAATAATGCATCTCAGCTCTAGCCTACAATGCAATCAAGAGAAACTCCTAGAACTGTGGTCCACCTTCAGCCCTTCAGTAACCTGTTGTGAGCACTGACAGCCTGGAGCACAACCAGAGGATTCACCACTGCAAGTTAATGACTGTTTTCAGAAGTCAACCACTTGCCATTCAACTGCTGCCTTAAACTAGAGTGCCTAAATCTGTTGTTTGCCAACACTACCACTTACAGTATCTCACAAAGGGCTTTGTGTCTCAGCTCTTTCACAGTGCTGCAGCTGCTGAGGTAGCCACGGTAGGTGTTTTCTAGAGCTCTACTTTACTGGATCCATGGTGCATCCATGAATTTTATACATTGAAACGTGTATCTCTTCATTTGACTTTAATATTTTTTTAAAAGATTTTTATGGAAACTGTCTTTTAGTTTTTCACTATGATGTTCCAGTTTCAATTACTGCAGTGCTAGTCCATTTCCACGTGATGCTTCATTGTATGGACCAGGTGACATTTGAGTGAAACTTCGTAATGATCTTTGTGCACTTTTACTTGTAAACAATTGAAATTTGGATATGTTTATACGTGTAAATATAGTTGTCTGCAGTGCCCCTATTGCTTATGTTGTCTTGCCTCCCATTTGTGGTTCTATTAATAAATACATCATATCTGATTGATTAGGGTGATAAGAATTAGACTAGAGATGGTGGGGGGGAGGGACACTTACATCAACACAAGCTTGTCAACCCAGCCACCTGCTGTTTGCAGTGTATTATGGAATAATAATTAAAACATCCTGTTTTTCTGGGGTCTGAAGCAATATGTGGATGCAGCAGTGCTGGATTCTTTTTCATTTCAGTGTTATTAGGAACTGTACTACCAGTAAAACTGAATTTGAGTGACTTGTGTAGAGGTTTATTCCTTTTGTTATGTATACCACTATTACACAGCTTGACCTAGTGTATTATGGGGCCTATTAAACTCTAAAGTTTAGATTTTTGGAGCTTGTATACAGGGTTATTTATATAATAATGTGACATTACTCAATACTGACAAAACTACTTCGGTAGTTTTTTGGGTTTGGGCTTCTTGGGGGGGTTGTTGGGATTGGGGTTTTTTTCCTTGTTTTTTTTTTTTTTTCCTTTTTTAAAATTTAGTACTTTTTTATTTTGGAGAAAACTCAGTGATCCTTGTGGGTCCCTTCCAACCCAGCATATTCTGTGATTCTGTAGTTCTGTGAAGAGGAAGAAATGTGATCTGTGTATTTTCTGGTTAAGGGCCTGTGTCTGCCTGGCTAACAGCCTTGGAGGTCAGTAATAACACTTCCTGGTAAATGTTCTTTTCACACTACTGTTTGTTTTTCTGAAACCAGGATTTGCTTCCTTTGGAGGCAGGTTGCTTTCAAGAGGGATAGTGCAACTTGTATGAGGGTTATTAAACATAGGAAAAAGCATTTGTACTTGCACAGCTTATAAATCACTTAGTCTAAAATTCTGAACGTGAGTTGTCTTAAAGAATCAATCAGACATTTTCCAGTGATTTTTTAATCCTTTTTTGTGCACATGTTGATTTCCTAAATGTTAAATGCTTTGTTTAAAAATAGTGTTCTCTGTTGAGAATATTTTCATGGAATAAAAAAATCTTTTCATGGTCTAAGTAATTAGCTTCCCCTTTTGTCTTCTGTTAAGATTGACAGGCACATGTTCAGTATGAGGTCTGTAAAGTCTTGTTCTGGAGGTCAAAACCTCTGCTGTGATTGTGATTGTAGCTAGGAGGAACAGATCTGGTGCTGGTTTTGTTGTCATCCTACTCCAATACTCCAGTGCTGTAAGAACCAGGCTTACTGGACCAAGCACATGCAGCTATGACTTAAATATTTGTACAACATCTCAGGACAACCCTTTGTCACCAGTTCTGTATATAACAAATGGGATTTGTTGCTAAGACTCTTTGTATAATGAACTGTGTGCATGGTGATTTCCTATAAAAAAGTGGTAACACCTTATGCTTTATCTTCATCCAAGGAAAAAGTGCTTACCAAAATGATTCACCTCAGTAAATGAAGCAAGTTTAATACATACATACACCCACATTTACTCATGTCTGAAAGCATTTTAATTATCTGGATTGTTTGTTCTTGCCATTTCATCATTCATTCCTGGCAGCATAGCTGTTGTGCAGGCCCCAGCAAAAGCTGAAGTACTACAGAGGCTGTCTTAAAAAAAAGGGGAAGTTGTCCAACATATACACAGCCTGCTTTCATAGGCACAGGAAAGTCTGAACCTTCTGGTTACAGATAAAGGATCATTTCTGCAACTTGCAGTGTTTCTGTGATTTGTAAATATGCAAATTATTTTCCATAAAGATACACTTCACAATTCTATCTACAGTGGTTTTTATATTCATTAAAGGACTATTATACAACAAATTTCCTGCCATGTCAGATAATTAATCTATTTTATTTACACTATTTGCTTCGTCTTAATATTAAGATGCCAATGCCCTTACTCCTTGGCATCACTTAGGGGAAATAAGGGGATGTTTAGAGCGACCAGTAAATGACTTGGTGACACAGTAAATAAATAATTTGTTTAGAAATCAGTAGTTTTAAAACAAGTGTGCATTGTGCAGTTAAAAGTTCTAAACATCTTGTGAAATGCAAGAAGTTTGTGCAGTATCAAATTGCCATAAGAACGCTAAGGTTATTTCAAGTATATCACTTAAATAGTGTTTCCAGAGTCTTATATACTTAATTGTTCCACCACCTTCACTGGAGGGGGTTCCAGTTTTCGGGAAAGTGCAGTTAAGATCCGGCTGAATTTCTCGTATCTCTCACTTTGATTAACTTGCGCTCCTTTGCTGCCCCAGAGCAATCTCATTTGAAATTCTGTCTTGAAGATTTCACTCAGCTCTTCATCTGGCTGGAAACCTAGTAGGTAAAAAGAATCCCACAGTATCACCACCAGGAAAATTTTTTCTGTAGAAATGGCTTTTAAACTGTCTTTTCTCCAAATAAGCTGCACTGGGCTCTGTTTGCACAATGATTTTAACAAGCTTGTAAAACAGTGAAAAAACCGTTCCAGCTCTGACATTCTAGTAACACTGATGGCTCTAAGGACACTGGCATAGGCTAGCCTTGCTCAATTCTAATGTCTAGAATTGTCATTGCAGGCAGACCTTAAATATCATTACTGATGTGTACATGCTGCCTGCAGAAATTGCTGTATTTCTCCCCACTCCCTTCCCTTTTCCACTGCAAGTTTGAACAATAAAGTCACATTGTTAACATGCTGCTGCTTTCTGGCCACAAGTGGTCACGATCTCAGTGCTGCAACTTGCACTGTTGTAAAGACTCTTAGGCTGGTGTTTTAACTGTAATAATCAGAGTGGGAATTTTACACTGTACAGAAGAGAGGAACTTACCCTCAGTCTGCACTGTACTTCTGTTCAGTTGCCAGAAGGGTCAGCATATTGAGTCATGAGAACTTCGAGTATGTTTAGCAAAAATGCTGCTGTAGTGATGAGTAAATTACTGTCTGCTTTTAAACAATATTAATGTTGTCCTCAGACTGAATTTCCTGCAGGACACTTACTGCTCTCCCAGCTCCTTTCAAAGAGGAGGATTTCTGTCTCTGACCTGCAGGGGCCTGTGGGCAGGCACCAGCCCAGCTGGGCTGGCAGTGCAGCAGCCTCTCTCTCTCTCTCCTACCTTGCAGCAGCTGCTGTGCCCTCCGCCGGAAGGTCTCGGCGTGCTGCGCCATCAGGCGTGCTGTGCCCAGGTGCCTGAGCATAATTTCACCACTTTGGTCACTGCTTTCCCACAGCTCCATGCCTTCAAAAATAACAGCTTGGCGCTCCAGCAGGGTAACAAGAGGCATCAGCAGTGGCACGGTTATGTTGTTCTGTGGAGCACTGATAGTTTCTGGAACAGAGTAATGATCATACTTCGCATATCATCACACATTATTGTTAATTGAAGAAGGTATTGTAACTGCAGTGTCCTTTTTTAAGTTAGAAACTACTATTTGTCTTCCATCTTTCAAATGGAGGACAAATAGCCTTCAAAAACCTTACCTTAAATATACCTGTCATACCAAGTTCCAGTGAACTGGTTAGGGAAGAAAACCAACACCAATTGGTGTTGGAAAGGTGCATTTGCTAGAGGGGAAAGTCCTGCTGAATTGCTGGACAGTAGCACAGATTTTAAACATTTTCAAAACTGGTCATTCCAATAAAAAATATCCAAGCAGCTAAAAAGTTTTCACTATCTACCTGTTGTCTTGGAGAAATGTTCTGAGAAATTATTTACTCTGCCTTGTGTCCCTTTAGAAACTAGAGCTACAGTGAATCTGGCACAGGGGCACCTTATCTGACAGAATTACCTTACCTGTTCTTTTTATTTGAGGAT